ATATACTGTGTAACTCTCAACTCTCACTGTAATGCTTTGACAGTGGGTCTCAGATTTTCTGATAATGGACCAGTTGTACAGCATCATGAAAACTGGTTTCAAATGCAGATTCTCAGACCTCTAGTCAGTGCTACAGAATGAGGAAACATAGGAACCATTCAATAACCTCTGTCTTCACCCTCCCTCCCTCTTTTGCATACACCCCCCCCGTGTGTGTGGTGTGTGTGTGTGTGTGTGTGTGTGTGTGTATGTGTGTGTGTGTGTATGCGGAGACCAGAGGTTGGTGTCAAATGTCTTCCTCAATTGCTCTTCATCTTGTTTCCTGAGACAGGGTCCCCCATTGAACCTGGAGTTGACCAATTTGGCTAGATTGGCTGGCCAGCCAGCCCCAGAATCTTCTTATCTCTGCATGCCCAGAGCAGTGATTGCAGAAACTGAGGATCTGATCATAGGTCCTCATGCTTGGGCTGGCAACCACTTTACCAACGGACACCTAGCCCTCTGCTTTGCTTCTAATACATGCCAAAGTTGCAGAGTTGCTCCATGATGTAGTGTTAGTGTTATCCTCATCTTACAGGCCCTGCATCAGGATTAATGGTTTGTCCGAGGTTCACAGGTAAGGGTTGGATGAGGACAGAGACCCAGGCAGCCGGGACTGGAGTGAACCTGCTGTACTGATGTCATTCATCAGTTTTGCCAGTAATTCATCATCACTGTACTGAGCTTTTTCTAAAGAAGCATCACAGATTCTTGGATGTGTCTCATTCTTCAAGGTGTTGGGAACATTGGGGCAGCAGCCTCTTGTCTCTATCTGAACAAATTGGCTCTGACTTGCAGGAGATCATGAATAGAATCCCAATGGATGCTGTAGAGAAGGTCTATCACCATGGGCAACAGTACCCTGAAAGCCATTTTTCTTTTGAACATATCTCTTAGATGATCATAGAAATGATGTTGAATGCCAGAAGAATAAAGAACAAATTCACAAACTCAGGAAAGAGTGAAAAACAGCCACTAGCGTCTCAGGCTCAAATGCATAAACAGCTGACATTTTCTGGATATTTTTTTTTCTGCCTCCACAGCAGCGGCAACTGAAGATTCTAAAACGGAAAGAGAGCAAGAGGGTGGGTCCTCACTGACTCCTTTATTGCTTTCCTAATTCTGCCTGGGTGAAATTTTTGTGGTCTAGAAGGAATTTCATTTAGGGAGGGAAGAGAAAGCCTCATGGCTTAATCTCTTCACGTGGCCAGAATCCAGAGGATATGAAGTCTACGTGATCTCATTTCTCTGGCCTTGTGAGAGTTGGACTTGTGGTTGCAGTTAGCAGAAATCTTAATGTTGGATGGGACCCAGCTAGCCACCTGCTGACCATGCACAGCCTGGGCTATTCTGGCTCCCCAGGGTCCTGCTCAAAGTGAGGTTCTGCCACGTTGGGGAATGAAGGCTTCTCTTCCACATCTTGTTTTCATTTCAGCAAAGTTTCCAAGGACTTGCCTTGTTAGCAGGCAGACCCTACAATTTTAGAACTAGTCATTTGTATGCAATCTGCCTTGTGGTGAATGTATAAATATAAAGCCAGGAGATAAGGTCTGAGTGTTTGGGTCAAGAGTAGGCTCTGAAAATGGACACCATCTTGGAAGTAACCACCTTAGAGCCCAAAAGAAATGAAATCCTCCTTTTATTTTGCTTTATTGGTGATTTATACCTGGCTGACTTCCAAAACGAATTTGAGATACATATAGTAAAACATACCTGGACAATAAGACTGTTGAAATAGTTGAATAAGAAAGTCATAAAGAGGAAGAAAAGATAGGTATTGTTTGTTAAAAACCAAGGCCACTATTTCTTAAAGATCCATGTTAAATTTAGCCCTAAGCTTCTTGGCAGCTATATCAAAAAGGGAACCATGGTAGGCTGCCCAGTCTTTAGTGAATAAGTTTATTAAGAGACAATTTCTTAATGGAACTGAATTCTAAAATGAGACTGTTACCTGGGAATAGATTTCAGACTTTAGAAGAGTGCATTTTCCAGCTTTCTTCTGACATTTCCTCTTTTAGTCTACATGTGGGAAAGGAAGCTTAATGTAACTGGGAATCGGCACAATATAAGAAGAATGTGAGGGCCGGGGAGATGGCTCAGTAGGCAAAGCATTTGCCATGCAGATGTGAGGACCTGAGTTTGGATCCCCAGAACTATAGATAGCTAGATGCAGTAGTGTATGTTTTTAATCCTACTATGAGGTGGGAGGCTAAGGTAAGAGAATGACCCAAGCTTGGGTGCCAGGTGGCCTGGCGTATGTAGTGAACAGCAGGCGACCTTGTCTCAGACAAGGTGGAAGGTAAGGACAGTAGCAGGAGTTCCATGGTGCATACATATGCTTACACAAACACACACACACACACACACACACACACCCCTCCACAGAAGGGGGGGAGAGGGAGAGAGAGAGAGAGAGAGAGAGAGAGAGAGAGAGAGAGAGAGAGGAGACTTGGCCTATGGAATCCAGCAAATTCCATGTTCTGGTCCCGAGCCATTTTCATCTTATTTTCTTCATCTATAAAACTGAGCAGATTCATCTAAAAGTTCCCTGAGATCTCTTCCATCACTGACATTTGGAGATCCCATGATGAGTACCTCAAGTTTAACATCAAGGTAGCAACTGTGACTGTCATATGCTGTCACTTGTAGAATCAGTTCCTCATCCCAACCATAGGGTCACTCACACTCAATCACTTAAGCTCATTCGATCCCTCACACTTGACTCATCTCTCACACTCAGCCCTCTCCTAATCTCTGTTCTTTCTCTTCTAAATTGGATTGATATTGTTTTTCTCTTAAAACATGTTTTTTTAAAATGTATTTATTTATGTTGTGTGTATACCCAAGAATGTGTGCTGCTGTGCACCTGTGGAAGTCAGAGGACAACTTGTAGGACCAGTTCTTTCCTTCCACCATGTAAGCTCTGGGGATTGAATTTAAATCATCAGGTGTGTCAGCACGTGCCTTTACCCACTGAGCCATCTCACTGATCCCTAAAACACTGTACCTGAGAAAGGATCCAGCCACCTCCAGGTCCCAGGGCACAGCCCTGTCCACAGTTGTGCAGCAAATGTTTCTGGCACAGAGACTCTGACAGGCATTTGCTGTGCAGTGGAGGATGGAGTTGCCGCCCTCCCAGAATGTTGGGAGAAGGGAGAGAATAGAGGAGCAGGCCACACTTGGCAGCCAGCCCCAGTGAGAGGAAGTGTATCCTTGCTCATCACTAGACAGTTTCCTGCAGTTCTCTTTGATCTAGGAGATGAGTCTTG